TCCATGGTTCTTAGGCCATTGGTTCTTAGGACCATACAACCACTCCTTGAAACGACACTTCACCATTGAATACACCTAAATAATGAGACATAAGTACATAAACACATATAGCTCAAGATTTTAACACATACACTTTGCACTTACTTCATGCTTGTTTGGACACACAACTCCAACGTATTCTCGGGGTTTATCACAGCTCGATCTCCATAATCATACAGAGGAGGTTCCTCGAATCGTCTAACGGGGCTAGGTGCTTCTCCTTAGCCGTCATTGCGGAGGGTTAGGGGGTGGAACCCACCGCTTGAAGTGATCACGTGGATGTCTCCTCTAAACCAATCGTCGAAAAAAGAGGTACCTAGGATCAAACTTTTCGCACCATCGATCCCTTTGAAAGAAAAAGCACCTCTCGTGGTCCTACACAACGAGATTCCAATAATATATTAGTACCATACTTAAACAAATAAAGAAAAGGATAGTACAAATAATTTCTTACATTAAACCGACTACATGTGTAGAAAGCAGCAGCGGTTGTGTCCGGATGTTTGATTGAAAAACATGGCCGGAAACCACAATCCTGATTAGGGACGGGAAGAAGGTCGAGAGGAGCAGGGCATCTTTGCTGCTAGAGCGGCGTCGGGGTATAATTCGTGAGGACGACCCCGTTTTCGTCAAAACTCCTCCCGAAACATTTCTTGCATCTAACAAATATGATGTAATTTAGCAAACATAAATAAAAACATCACAACAAAAATATCAGTGAGAACCATAACTACAATACAATCAATTTCGTTATAAGAACCAAAAGCAGTTAACATTATACCCTAAACCTAGGGTTTCTTATTTCATCCACAACAATAAAACCCATAACATAACTACATGTGGCTTGGTTTGCTAGCATTTTCACGCCTTGAAATGAACCTACAGTTGTATAATACATATATTGAGGGATACAATGAAACCCTAAGTGATGGCGATTCTTAGGTTCAAAAATCCGACTAATATATACCGAATCGATGCGAAAAAAACAAGGAAGGGGCGAGGATACCTTGCTCTCAAGATCTACGGATCAAATCAAGGTTTTCAAGGTCCAATATGTCGATTCGTGAGGTAGGATGAAGTGGCGAGAAAAAACCCGAGGAGAAAGAAGAGGAAGAACGCTTCGGGAAGAAGGTCAAGGGGTTAAATCTGAGTAGCTCGGCGCCATCCGCTCTGGGCGCCGAGCCCCTCTGAGGCCGTTGCCCGTGGCGAGGCTCGGCGCCGATCAGCGTGGCGCCCGAGCTCGGCGCCACTCACTCTGGCGCCGAACCAAGGGTCCATTTCTGAAATTCTTTCCGCCAGGGGTCTATTTGAGAGAAACTTTCGAAAAAAGGGCCAAAAAGTAAAAAATTCGGAGGATTAGAGCAGCTCTGCAGGGGCCAGGGCCCAGGGGGGCTTCTGCTGTAAAAACGGGGTCTGCTGCTACTCCAACGGGGGGAAAAACAAAGGCTTGTTCAGTCAGTCCTCTGCTGCAGCCGTGCTTGCACGTCTTCGCCGTCGCCGATACTGTATGTTTTTTGTTGGCAGCAGATCCAATGCCAACAGCCGCCGGGGTAACCAAAGATTCCATTGCAATCCATCGAACAGCGGCTTCGTCTCTGGTCTCTTTCCAGTTTCCATTCAGGGAAGGGAAGAAGATCTGAAGATGTAACCAGAAATGCCTTTTACAGCAGCTTCAACCATTTTCTTATCATCGTATGCTAGTCCTATTTGCGGGGCAACTTTTAATTAACGACCGCGCCATTCAGACGCAGATGAGAGCACTCCACTGACGAGCGAAGCGTGAGAATCCGATGCCGATGCGTGCATTCCTGTCGCCACCGGCCACCGCGCGTAGCGTAGATAAATGGTACTAGTACTAGTTGTTTTTGACGGACGGACCAAAGGGACCGGCCGGCCGGCCGGGAGCGGGACCCCTGCCTGATCCGATCTGCTGGCTGGTGCTTCTGTGTGGTAGCCTCCTGGTAGGGGTGTTGTAGAGTAAAACTGTCTCAGCACGTGTCTAACCGTGCTGCAAAATGTGCTCGTAGATACGCTAGGCATCTGTCGTGCTCCACTTCTTGTGAGCCTTACGCTGGATTAGGGCTTTCCAACGCACCACGGTGGCGCACAGAGAACAGAACTGTGGCCTCGCAGGCTGTTTAGAACACCTTGTAGAAGAACTGATGGACAAAAGAACGGAGCAACAACTGAAAAAACTCGTTGTGGTGATGGGCAGCCTCAGACTGACGTTTGCTGCTGGGGACCACATTTGATTGCAGCGTCCTCTCTCTCCAAACGTGAAATATTCTATTTAGCGTGTGTTTAGTTCGCGAATTTTGAGAATTTGGCTATCGTAGTACTTTCGTTTTTATTTGTCAATTAGTGTTTAATTATGGACTAATTAGGCTCAAAATATTCGTCTCGCAATTAACAACCAAACTGTGCAATTAGTTTTTTTCGTCTACATTTAATGTTCTATGCACGTATCGCAAGATTCGATGTGATGACTACTATAGCACTTTTTAGAAAACTTTTTGGAACTAAGCAAGCCCTTAGGTCACCCCAATACGACACCCGTATAATAGTCCCCCAGCTGCCACGTAAGCACTCAAGGTCTAGATTGCCATTAGTGGTGGTCCCGCAGAGTGGCCTTCTAGCTGTGGCTTGTGTTGTGGAATAGAAAATTGTCAAGGCCAGTCTACTTTGGCCACAAAGGCTAAAGCAAATGACTCTTGGGACCATATAAAAGAGTGGAAGCGTTAGCATGCGTTAGGGACGTTTGGGCAGTTTGGTTGGCTGGTTCGTTTCGTTGCTGGTTCATGAAAAAGTACTGCTGGTTGGTTTGCGTGAGAGGAAAATACTGTTCCGGCTAGAAATTTACGATCGTTTACGATAAGCCACAGCCAAACGAACAAGCTAATTGATAGCCTCGCATCTTCAACATCTAACATGGCAGCAACTTTTATCTAAGACCATCATAGCCTGCATTGGGCATGCTCTTATTGGCCCCAACTTTTTCCCAAGCAACGTACAAGCTATGGGACCATGACGATACATGTATAGCCCGCGATGGGTAAGCTGTGGTTTCAACTTGTCAAGACCTATGTGGAATTTGATTTTTTAGGTGAGCTGTGGTTTCAACTAGTGAATATCTACGTGGAGTTTTGACTTTTTGCCAGGGCTAACGCTCATGTATGCCCGCGTTGTTGAAGCCCTTAAAAGAAAGAGCTTGGTCAATACACTATGGCGTGTTTGGTCTCCTCTCAACGGAGCTTGGCTCACATATAACGGCCAGACTGGCTAGGGGTGGTCTCAACGTATGCAACTGTTTGAGGATCTAGGCCGAGTAAAGTTTTTTTTTTTTTTTGAGGAAACGTGTAAAGTGTTTGTTTGATTGACTTCAATTTGGAAAAGCCAAAAGGACCTGTAATTTGGAATGGAGACGAGGTTCACTGAATACCTGATGCACTATTCGTTCTTCCGTCGCCATTTTGTTGATTGTGGTAGAAAGTCGGATGTCCTGTCATTCCTGGGCCATTTTGAATTTTTGATCACATGAATCTTGCTGGAATCACATACGAGGAGTTTGGTAGGGATTAGATTACAACAGGAATTTATACTGTACAAATGTGGTATGCTACGCTGCCTTCAAATAGAAAAACAACGCACTTTTCAAAAAAAAAAGGAGAAAAGAAAAACAAAGACTTGTTCAATCCTCTGCAGCCGTGCTTGCACGTCTTTTCCGATTATATGTTTTGTTGGCGGCAGCAGCAGATCCAAAGCCAACAGACAGCCGCCAGGGTAACCATAAGATTCCATTCCAATCCATCGGAGCTTCGTCTCTGGCTCTCTGCTCTCTTTCCATACAAGGAAGCAAAATGTCATTACAAATGCCTTTTACAGCACCTTGAACCAACCATTTGCTATGGGTAACTTTTAAACAACTGCGCCATTCAGATGCAGATGCAGAGCACTACACTGACACTGATCTGACCCAAACCAATACCAGAAGCTGTTTTCCATGGTGGTGCAGCCAAAGCACACGGTTTTGTAGTTGTACTTTTGAGATTCCTTTGTATTGCACCTGACCTATTGTTGCTGACACCGCTGTCAAGACTCAAGAAAGCAGCTTACCAACCGTAATCAGCAGCGTTCAGGGGGTTTGCCCTCCGGAGGTCGCTGTCGCAACCAACGCACTGCGAAAATTGGGACGACAGGGGCTCACAGAGTCCGAAGTCCGAACGACATCTGGTTTTTGACTGGAAATTGCTCCTGATCCAAGATCCTTAGTGAAAACACACACAAAGCTAGTGTATTTGAGATTGCTTCTGATTCTCTCATCCTGGTATTAGAAACTGGCAATGTCAAAGATTGCTTCTTTATTCATTTTCTTCGTCACCATCATCACAAATTCCAATGCCAAGCTGCTACATTTCCAAAGATAATATTTTTTTTCTCTCCCTCACTTGGAAATGGAATGCAGTAGAACTGACACGGAAGAAAGATAATATATTTTTTTTCTCTCCCTCACTTGGAAATGGAATACAGTAGAACTGACAAGGAAGAAAGAGTTTGGGGGTTCTTCTTCCTCCTCCAAAAGACGAGAGAGAGAATCACAAAGAGTGAAATCTGAATTGGGAGAGAACACAGATACAGAAACTCAGCAATGCCAAAGTTGCTTCTTTATTCATTTTCTTCGTCACCATATCACAAATTCCAATGTCAAGCTACCACATTTCCAAAGATAAGATTTTCTTTTTCTCCCTCACTTGGAAATGGAATACAGCAGAACTGACAAGGAAGAAAGAGTACGGGAACCCCTCTCAAAAAGTCAAATCTGAATTGAGGGGGAAGAATACAGATACAGACTGGTACAATGTCGATCATGACATGAGCAGCAAGCACGGTGGTCGGAGGAGGAGGATTGGACTATTACTAATAACAGATGAGGTTGAACGAGACGAATCCCCCGGCGGCCGTGGCTACTTGCGGACGTTGGAGGAGGAGACGTTGGGGGCGTGCGGGGATCCCTCGAAGAGCTGCTTCCGGAGCACGTCGTGGAGGCCGTCGAAGAGCTTCTTCTTGACGGAGTCCATGGCCCACTCGAGGCGGTTGAGCAGCTCGGTGGAGTTCTTGTTGTACATGAAGAGCCCGTTGTAGAGGTCGAAGCTGTCGCTGCAGGTGTTGTCGACGAGGCGGAGCAGCGTCTCGTACCCCTTGGTGTCGATGGGCGTGGAGCGGAGCTCCAGCATGGCGAGCATCCTCCCGACGGTGTGGGTCAGGAACTGGGTCTCGGCGGCGTGCGCGTCGTGCTCGGCGCACGACATCTCCACCATCCGGCACCCTTCCCGCTCGAAGATGTTGAGGAACGCCTCGGCGCGGGCGCGGCGGGCCGGGCAGTCCCCGACCCGGACCTTGTCGAACACGAAGGGGAGGCCGTCCCAGCCGTCGCGCGCCGACTCCGGGCCGAACATGGGGTGGGTGCAGATGACGTCGAAGTCGGGGGGTAACGAGCTGAGCAGCAGATTCTTGGGGAACTCCTTGACGGAGAGCACGTCGACGAAGAGCGTGTTGCGGCGGAGGCGGTGGACGGGCAGCGAGCGGAGCACGGCCTCGGCGGAGAGGATGGAGGTTGCGAGGAGCACCACGTCCGGGTGGCACTCGCACAGGTCGTGCGTGTCGGTGAAGAAGGAGGCCCCCAGTGTGGACGCCAGCGCGGAGTGGTCCGTCCGGGAGTGCGCCAGCAGCGTGTGTCCCTGCCGCGCGAAAGTGCGCGCCAGGAACTGCCCGAAGTTGCCGAACCCGACGATGGCGATCTTCAGGCGCTGATGCTCCTCCAGCAGCCCCGCCGCTCGGGACTCGAAGTCGAACGGCTGGGCGGCGTCTAGCGCGCGGATGCGCTGGGCCCGCGCGCGGAGCGGCGCCGGGGACGCCGCCCCTGGGGCGTGCCCGCGCCACCGCCGCGGGGAGGCTAGGTGGGTGGCGCCCCCCGCGGCCGGGGCCGGCGGGTGGTGGCGGTGGGGACGGGTTGGTTGGTGGAGACGGAGGGTGGAGGTGGAAGACGACAGCATCTTTGCTTGGGGGAGTTGGGGTTGGGCTCTCGGCTGCCGCTGCCGCTGCCGCTGCTGCTGCTGCTCTCCTCACCTCCTCTGGCGTTTCCTTCGGCCTTTGGGTGTGGTTGCTGGAGACCCAAGTAGTAGGTGACAGACGCCAGGATCATTTGGGGTTGATTCCAGTGTACTATTTGCATTTATAGAGTTTTAATAGCAGTAAAATTGGAGAATGAACAATGGGTAAATATTTGACAATGGTAATTTGGGGGGAAAAGGGGGCAATCAAGGACCACTCCCCACTGTTGTAAAATGTACAGCACAAAATGCTTTTAGGGCTCGAGCCAGCAGCCAATATTCCAACCGGGCGTATTCGAACCAAGCACCTTAGTTTTGTTTTAAATCAAATCTTTTAATTTTTTATCAGTTTTGGAGAAAAGAATAATAAAATCTACGATATCAAATAAATAAAATGTTAAGAGGTATTTTAGTGTGAATTTAATGGAACAAGTTTGATGATGTACTCGATGCATTTTTTGGAAACTCATTCAATTAGACAATTTTTGTCTAATACTACCTCCGTCCTGAAAAAGAACGTAACCATAGGTTACGGGCCATGAAAAGTGGGTCACGTTTGACCAAATTTCTAGTGAATAATATTTATATTTATGCCTTTAAATTAATCTATTATAAAAATACATTTCATAAATAATTTAATGATATTTATTTGGTATCATAAACATTGATACTTTTTTTATTTATAGTTGATCAAACTTATAAGGTTCTAAAACGTGACACTGTGCTAAAATTGTATTCTTTTTGGGACAGAGGTAGTATGCTAGAACAAAACTACCAATACATCTAGCATTTTTGGTATAAATGGAGTAAATGGCTAACTTTTTAGGTAAACTATTCATAGTTTGCAACAAAGCCATAAACTACGGTAAAAGCAACATATATTATGTAACCAATGCTTAAGAAAAATCCCTATACTCCCTCCGTTCATTTTCTGCTGCCAGTTTGTAGTATAATAGTCAGAGGCATAATGATCACTTTTTAACTTCTCTTCCATGCACTCTGAAAATGTTATTTTAATAATCGTAGTGTCAAAGGAGCAAATTATCATAATTGAAGAATGTCTTCTAACAAAAACAACGTTGAGTATTGTCCATCAATATCAATATTGAAAGTGTCATACAACAAATTTAGCCGACTTTTAAGGGGTGTATTTCAATATCATCATTTTTCTAACCATTCTCATAGTAGTTGTAGAGGCAAATCAACCAGGTGGAGATGAATTCATCACAATTAATGATTGATAGTCCTATATGGACAGAAAAGCTTTTTTTTTGTCAAACCATTCTTGCAGTAGTTGTAGGAGGTAAATCAACCAAGTGAAGATGAATTCATCACAATTAATGCTTTATAGTCCGATATGGACAGAAAACTGGCATTCATGTCTACCACAATGGGTTGCCCATATCAATTTTTGTCAATTTATTAACTCTAAATGCTACACGTTCTCCAGTCTCCACGTTACCAAACGTGTTTTTTTTTTTGACGAGGACGTTAAAGTGTTAATCTCGGTACCCATGCTATACTTGCCTCATTACCAGAACTAGGTGCAAGCTCAACATATAACAAGAGAGAGAGAGAGAAAAGGTGATTTTGCCTAGCATTTGGAGGCCAAAGTGGTTGGTAGTGCCACTGGGAGTAGGTAAACCATTCCAGGTTCTCAAAAGGGTTAAGTCCTGGCATTTGGCAATCGCTCTTGCAGATAAGTGTTACACATTTCACAAGAAGCTTATTAGTTACATTCCGGGGCCACTACAACGTTCTACAACAACACAACTGTTTTAAGACCCAAACAACCATCTCCCAGAATGAAGAAACTCAGTTACACCGTACCGTGTACATTACTGTAATAACATCACAAAGCCCTGAGACCAGCCACCAGACACCAGACTCCAAGTGGATTCTGGTGATCTTCAGAAAGGGGCCAAGTACCCTTAATGTCGTCACATCCAGGGCGATCCACAGATACATACTGCATTACAACTGATAGGCAGTTTACCTACACCCTGCCAGTTCATTTTCTCCTATGATGATGGCGATGTTTATTGTGCTGATCAGAGTCTGAGTAATCAGAGGCACTAGAATCAGGGTAGTGCCGTTTCTCCCGAGATCTCCTCGAATGTCTACTGGTTTCGAAATGGCTGCGTTCAGTATAGTCTTGCTTACCGCTTGATCTCTTTGAATGCCTGTTAGTATGACGTGGGCTTGTATCAGAATGGCGCTGTTTCTCCATCGATCTCCTTGAGCGCCTGATGGCATCAGGAGAACTTGACTCTCTATCATGTCTCTTCTCCCTCGATCTCCTTGAGTGTCGATGGCTCCGATCAGAACTCGAGTCACTGTAATATTGTTTCTCCTTGTGCCGTAGAGAATGCCTGCCTCTCTCAGAAGAACTTGATGAATAACTGTAGTGGCGCTTCTCCCTTGAACGCCTTGAATGCCTCTTGCTTTCTGCGTCTCCTTGATCCTTAGAGAAGGACAATGGTGACTCATCTCTTTTCTCCTTCACATGTTCTCTCTTCAGATGCCGCCTTGTATCTTCACGGACCTCAAATTCTGAATCAGAAGAAGACTCTAACTGGTATTTCTTCTTATGCCTATGCTTTGACTTACTCTTGCCTTTTCTAGCATCTATCTCAGAATCAGAATATGATGAATCAGAACAGTTTGTTTTCTTTCTCTTGCTTCTTGATGTTTTGTTTCTCTTCTCATTTTCAGAGTCTGACGATAGATGGTAACTGCTTTCATGTCTACCAGAATCCTCATGAATAGCAGACTTAGCCTGCTTATGCTTGCTTTTCTTCTTAGAACGTTTCTTGGATTTGCTAGCAGAAAAATTGGAAATGAGAGCTGGAATGTCACAGTTCAGAAAACCTGAAATACATGGCAGCAAAAATATTAAATCGCAGAAGTTATACATGGATGTTTGTTCATGTTTCAGACTACTAATATACCTCCATATTCATCAAAGATGTCTTCTGCCACAATCTGCTGATTAGGATCATTTGGGTCAAATCCGCCACGAGGAGGGCTCATGCCTGGCTTTTGCTTAAGTTCCCACTTCAAAGGCTGTCAAATTCCTCACATTAAAATTGACGTTTAAACAAGTAATAATGAGCAAATTTATGTTCCTATTGTCTATATTGGTTGGACATGTATCATGTATGGATCAAATATTGCTACCAAGACCATGGATAACTATATATCACACTGTTCAAAATATTCAGGTCTCTGCTACATTTCAACGCCCAACATGGTTTCAAGAATAGTGATGGAAGAAACAGACAATACTGACAAGGATGTCATGCTATCATTGGTAAGTGAAGTAATATGTAGTCATGGGGGCCAGCCGGCTAGGGTAAAAAGTCAAATATCGCATGCTCTAAAACTGGGACACATATATTTCCATATTTTTTATATGGCTTGCAGTTGCAACAGAAATATACTTCAAAGAGGGGAAAAAAAATCTAACCTCACTTGAATCAGTCTGCGCCATTATAGTTGTAAGTGGATCATCTCTTTTCAACCGACTCTCCTCATTAGGCATGATCACATCCTTCAAGGGACATTCCCGGTCACCACTTTGGTGACCATAGTTTCCACACCTTAGACATCTAACATTACGAACTTCAACTCCAAATGGTTTGATCCTTGCAGGAGCACCTGTGTCTAACCTGAGAATAAGAGGGAAATGTGTAGTGAATGTTAAATAAAAATCTTAACTGTGATCTAGATACATCATAATGCTGCACTATTTGGATAAGTGAAATGAGAAAACATATAAAGAATGACAGTTACTATAACAGAAAAAAAAATGGAATAGAGAAATAGTTCAGCCACTCAAATTTCAAAATAACAGACAAGGAGTATTTCATGTTTCATGTTGCATGGTTGCTTTACAGATCATCAGTAACAAGGAGTTCAATGTACCTTGGAGCATTCTTGAGAACCTCAAATTCTTGTTCTGTTGCCAATGGCCGACCAAAAACATCTTTTGGCCTATTTTTCTTATCTGCGCCTGATTGAGTCTTTTCAGGTCCCTTGTCAGGTCTGGAAAAAAATATAACCATGATGAAATGTAGAAGAAGCAGTCTGGAGTTACTAGGACAAAAGAAAATGTGCACCCAGGCCGAAAGCTCCACATAAGGTGGGGTCTGGGGAATGGAATTGCAATAAAATTTGAAATCTACAAATTACGGTTGCATGCTATTAGCCTCCAAATCTTTATTAAAACTTAGACAGTTGAAGAAAAGTCGAAAGTTCTAACTCCCCAAAAATGAAAAAAAAGCACAGCAATATGTGGAAGCAAAATAATAGATATCACTTACATTGAAGAGGTACTTGCAGATGCAGTACCTTGAGCCATGTCACCTGGATCTGACCTTTTCTTCTCATCTTCAATTTCAGCAGCTTTTGCACTCTCTGCATTGTAGCCAGGTGGGCGCACGTACATAAAACTCACAGCTTTCATTACCTCCATCTGAACTTACAAAACAAATTGGATACTGATGACATCAATTCTTCATGAGTGGAAACAGTAGGATGAGCACTGAAACATAAATATAGTTGTTTATTCAGCTTAAATACAGCAAAAGAAGTTTACATTTCTTGAAACGTAAGAATAGCTAGCACGTTCCACATTATTAGTGAGACTGAGGGACTGATGGTTGTCATTTCAAGAACGAAGAAAAAAATTCCCCATTTATTGTTTAACTAACTGAATTTATTCTTTGGCAACATTTTTAGCCTACCCCAACTTGCTTGGGATTGAAAGGCTATGTTGTTGTTGTTGTTGTTGTTAGTTGGACAGTAAGTGAGCTGGGCAGCTGGCTTTTTTTTTTCTTCTTTTTTTTTTTGTAAAACCTAATAAGATGGACCATTTATCTGCAGGATACAAATTGTAGAATACCATACCCTTGTTGCTGCTGTCAACGGGTAAATGATGGACTTTGAATCTGAGGAGAAATTAACAGCATGAGGTAGATAAAGTCTCTATAAGGTTGGTTTGCATATGAGTATCCATTATTGTGTGGAGTGCACTATGACTATACAACAAATACAAGACAACATCCACTCATCCAGTCATCCACATTATGGTTCTCTATAGTAAAAACATCAATAAGGTGTTTCTGCTAGGTCCTGAACACAGATTTGTGAGCAGTGATTGGAACTATTTCTTCAGTAAGGCTTCAGTAAGGCAATTGTTTACTAAATTGTCAGCATCACAGCACAATTATACTAGTACTAGTACAAAAACGTGAAACCGGACCCATGACATTATTACACTTATATAGGCATATAGCTCTTATGCTAAATTGAATGTGACCGCAATAGACAGCATCGGTACCAGCCAACGATAACACAGGATTCAGATAAGCAGCTCCTTAAGCTAATGGCAACGAGCAATTGATGCAAGGGACGAACAGCAGAGGGTATTATACCTTCTCCTTGTCCTTCTTAGAGAAGAGTGCGGTCTGCCGGAAGAACTCCTGCTCCTGTGCGAACTCTCGCTGCACCTCCTCCTGGCGGCGCGCGTGGTTGGCGTGGACCTGCTCGGCGATCCACTTGCGGCGCTGGTTCGGGTACGAGAGCGGGTGCCACGGCTTCTGGTTGAGGTACGAGTGGCTCCATGCCGTCCCCGACTTCTCCTTCAGCTCCACCTCCCCCGCTGCCATCTTCCGCCCAATCCCCCGCCGCTCCCCGTCACCTCCTCCTCCATCGCTCTCGCCGGCCTCCGCCTCTCCCGATCGCCGCCGGTCGAATCCCTCCCCTCCCGACTCGCAAAATTACCGAAAGACCCCTACCCCTAGCGGCTGTGAATTGGATCGAATATTATATGGGCCGGGATTCCATATGAGCCAACGCCATTCTGGCCCAGTTCGAAACTGAGCTTTCGGCCTAGTCAACGATCGATTGCAATCTCAGCCTACCAACCTCCCCTCCAGAAGCAAGCGAACAAGCGTCCAGCACCTCCATGGCATGGCCACGCTCCCGGCCGCCGTCCAGGCCCTCATCGCCGGCGCCTCCACCGGGCGCCACCTCCGGCAGGTCCACGCCCACCTCATCACCTCCGGCCGCCTCGCTTCCCTCGGCCCCACCCTCCTGCGCCGCCTCATTTCGCTGCACCCGCACCTCCACCTCGCTGCCGCCCACCGCCTTCTCCTCTCCATCCCATCCCCGCCACTCGACCTCTTCAACCTCATCCTGCCGCCACTCGCCTCCTCGCCCGATCCCGCAGCTGCGGCCGGACTCTACGTCCACCTCCGCCGCGGGGGCCTTAGCCCGGATGCCCACACGCTCCCGCACGTCCTCAAGGCGCTCGCGCGCCTCGCGCCGGGCTGCCTCCCGCTCGTCACCTGCACCCACGCGGAGGCCGTCAAGACCGGCCTTGCGCGCGCCGTGGTGTACGTGCCGAACGCCCTCATGGCTGCATACTCTGCCTGTGGCCACTTCGGGCGCGCCATGCAGGTGTTCGACGAAATGGCGCGCCGGACCGTGGTTTCTTGGAACACCGCGCTCACAGCCTGCGCGGACAACGGCCGCCACGACCGGTGCGCCAGGATGTTCGTGGACATGGTAGAGGCTGGGTCCGTGCCCGATCAGACGACGTTCGTGGTCATGCTCACCGCTGCGGCCGAGCTGGGGAACTTGGCGCTTGGCAAGTGGGCACACGGGCAGGTCCTTGCCCGGTGGCTTGAGATGACGCTTCAGCTTGGCACGGCTGTGGTGAATATGTATGCCAAGTGCGGCGAGGTGAGTTACGCGTCACGCTTGTTTGAGAGGATGGCAGCACGGAACGTCTGGACATGGAGCGCGATGATCATGGGGTATTCACAGAACGGGATGGCACGCGAGGCACTGGAGCTTTTCGACAGGATGAAGGATGCATCTGTTGTGCCCAACTATGTCACATTTCTTGGACTCCTCTGCGGATGCAGCCATTCTGGTCTGGTCAACGAGGGCCGCCGATTCTTCCATGAAATGCAGCATGTCTATGGCATCAAACCAATGATGACACACTACAGTGCCATGGTTGATGTCCTGGGACGCAACGGCCGCCTCCAGGAAGCTTTTGACTTTGTTGTGGACATGCCGGTCGAGGCCGACACAGTCGTGTGGAGGACGTTGCTGAGCGCCTGCCAGCTGCACAGCTCCAAGGACTGCATTGCCATCGTTGATAAGGTGCAGAAGAGGTTGCTGGAGCTGGAGCCCCGCAGAAGCGGTAACCACGTGGTGGTCGCGAACATCTACTCGGACATTGGGTTGTGGGACAAGGCGGCCATGACGAGGAGGGTGATGAGGGAAGGGGGGATGAAGAAGATGGCAGGTGAGAGCTGTGTCGAGGTAGGAGGACGGATTCAGCGGTTTGTCTCCGGGGATGAATCCTGTCCTGGATTGGGTGGGGCTTACAGGATCCTTCATGAGTTGAACATCAACATGAGAAAATGGGAACCTGTGGACAAAATCTTGCTTGCTGATTCTGACCTGTGAGTACCATGTACGCTGACCAAAACTGTTTATGCTCTTCATGTCAGTCCTGTTTTTCTCCATATTTAACAGGCAAAAGCTTCGAAATTTTACTCTTGCAGACATGATAGCACATTTGATCATCGACCATTTTCTATACTAAGAGTTAAGAGATTATGAGTTCAAATTTCTTCTTGTTTTAACAACCATCCATTACTCGTTTATTTGCTGGTTTATTTATAGAGGTTATTAAAATATATGACCAGGGGAAGCAGTACGTGCAAATGGCACGTCCGTGCAAATGTCATCGAGCCAGGACAATGGTGGCTTTCATATAGTGGCCCGAGTTAACAATTCGGCCGGCCCGGCCCATTAAGGATAGTTTCTCCAAAACCTAAGGAGGGGTCACCTTCGTAGAGTACCGCCGTTGTCTCGCCGTCTTCTTTTTTCCCCACGATCGAGAAAAATAATAAGGTCGCCGCCTTCATCTCCGGGGCGAAGAAAAAGTGGCATTATATTCTACCGCCCACCCAAGATCATGGCGTCATCTTCCTCCGTCCGCCTTCATCACCTGCCGTTCACCTCTCGCCGGTCGCCTACTCCAACCAATCTCCAGTTGTGCGCGACGAGCTGCCAGTGGCGGCAGCTTCCCGTTCCCGGCGCGGCACCTCCTTCGCTCCGCCTACGCGCCACGGGTGCCTCACAGCCGCTTGGCAGTGACAGCAACGCCCTGTTATCCCGCGGAACCGAGGAGGTCGAGAAGGTGGAGGAGGAGCTGAAGCCTGCGCCCCGGCTCAAGATCGCCGTGGTCGGGTTCGGCAACTTCGGGCAGTTCCTGACGCGCACGCTGGTGGCGCAGGGGCACACGGTGCTAGCGCACTCCCGGTCCGACCACTCCGCCGTGGCGGCGTCCATGGGCGTGCGCTTCTTCCCGGACCCACACGATCTCTGCGAGTGCCACCCGGACGTGGTGCTCCTGGCCACCTCCATCCTGTCCGCCGAGTCCGTGGTCCGGTCGCTCCCGCTGCACCGCCTCCGTCGCGACACCCTCTTCGCCGACGTCCTCTCCGTGAAGGAGTTCCCCAAGCGGCTCCTCCTGGGCGCGCTCCCGGAGGAGATGGACATCATCTGCACGCACCCGATGTTCGGGCCGGAGTCGGCGCGCGACGGCTGGGCCGGCCTCCCCTTCATGTTCGACAGGGTGCGCGTCCGGGACACCTGCTCGGCGCGCCGCGCCCTTGCCGAGGCGTTCCTCGGCGTGTTCGCACAGGAAGGGTGCCGGATGGTGGAGATGTCGTGCGCCGAGCACGACGCGCACGCCGCCGAGACGCAGTTCCTGACGCACACCGTCGGGAGGATGCTGGCGGCGCTGGAGCTCCGGGCGACGCCAATCGACACCAGAGGGCACGAGACGCTGCTCGGGCTGGTGGAGAACACGTGCAGCGACAGCTTCGACCTCTACAACGGCCTCTTCATGTACAACAACAACTCCACCGAGCTGCTCAACCGCCTCGACTGGGCCATGGACGCCGTCAAGAAGAAGCTCTTCGACGGCCTCCACGACGTGCTCCGGAGGCAGCTGTTCCACGTCGGGGAGGGGGAGGGCGGAGCGGAGCGCACGGAGGTGCTGGCGGTGGTGCCGGGCAGTGGTCCGGACAACGATGACGGGCGCGCGACGGCGATGGCGACGATCAAGTCGGGAGAGGAGAATAATTGATGGCACGGCACGACACAGCGGTGTGCCATAAAGGCACGACGTCGATCTGTCGCAGCGCGCGGCCTGCCTTGCATGTTGGTTGGATCTTGCTGTCTTCCTTGTTAATCGTTGATGTGGAGTGTCGATCTTTCGCTTAAGTGCCTGTTTAGTTACTAAAATTTTGCAAATTTTTTTAAGATTTCCCATCACATCGAATCTTTGACACAGGTATGAAGCATTAAATATAAATAAAAAATAAAACTAATTATACAGTTTAGACGAAATTCATGAGACGAATCTTTTAAGCCTAATTAGACTATGGCCCTGTTTGTTTCAGCTTTTCTGAGTCTCGCTTATAAGCCGAGCAGGCTTATCTGATAAGTCACGATCTGAAGAATCTGCTGTCTGAATAAGCTGGGCGTTTGGCTGTCCTGATTATTTCTGGTAGATTATCTGTTCTGGATGTAAATTGACATATGTACCCCTGAGGCTGATGATACCTCTTTTGATTCGTCACAATGATCGGAAGGCAATGGTGGGAATATTTTTAAAGTTTCAGATAGCAATATGGTTTCATTAAATTGCAATGTACAATAATAGTCGTAAATAACATCCATTTGGGTATTGTAATTGCTACAAAATACTAAGTTTCTAACAATGAATCACCAAACCAACGCATTAGCAATAGCATCACGGAAAGCACACATATTAATATCATCCGCCGAACCAGCACCATCAGCTGAAGGGACTTGGGACCCAACACGACTACTGTCTTCCACATAGGTTTCAAAATGTTCATCATATATGGCATTGTCTCTAATAAAATTATGAAGAGCCATGCAAGCAATGATAATCTTTTATTGCTTCTCAATTGGATAGCTAGGTAACTGCAAGAGAGTGCGCCACTTCATCTTGAGAACTCCAAATGACCGCTCAATCACATTTCGGAGGGATGCATGAGCATAGTTGAACACCTCCTTCGATCCCACTGCATGACGACCATGTTGCCATTCGGGCACATGATACCTTTGTCCCTTGTAAGGTGCTAGATATCCTTTTCTATTAGGATACCCAGAATCAATAAGGTAATACTTGCCTTCAGGTGGATGTGGAAATTTATCATTGTAGGTGACTAAAGTATCCAAAAATACCGAGTGTCATGAGCAGATCCAGCCCAACCCGTGACAACAAATGTGAACCGCATATCGAAGTCACAAACTGCCATGACATTTTGTGAAGCATAACCATGTCGTCCAATGTATTTTGCTGTTCACTTTTTGGTACGATTACGGTATGTGTGTACCATCAATGGCGCCTATGCAATCGTTGAAATGAGGCGAACTTAGCTTGCTGCAGCTTTTGGATGAACTGTACCAAAGTGTGGATCCTTAGGTCTTATGATGTCAATAGAGGCAGGTCTACAAATTGAGTTAAGTACCTCACTAAACTTTCTCTTGATAGTTTCTAAAGAATGACCAAACCTATTTGCAACTTGTCTAAACGATTGAGGTGCACCACATGTCCACAAAAACAAGCCTAAGGCTTCCTTGGTACAAATATCATTAGTTGATCTCAAGCCATAATTACGAACCAAAAGTCCGATGAAGGCGATGGAACCGACCTTGTCATTCTAAACATGTTGTAGCATTGCACTCTATCATTTAGTTGGATTTCAACCCATTTTATCCTGTCATGGTTGGTACATCCGGAACCACCTCCTTGTTCTTTGCAACAACGCTAGTTGACCCCATCAATTCCATTGCAATATATGCAACCATGAAATCCTCATCAATTACCGATTCATCGACTTGCATCCTCATCCTTTGGAGATGCTCATATTGATTTCAACACCTAAAATAGGTACACATTATGAAGCATGAGCAAAGGAACAGAGGAAGCATATATACAGAAATAATTATTCGCACAAGCAAAGTCATGACATAAATCATCAAATAATGTACCCATTACAACACTAAATTTTCATCAAATAATGTCCAGAAATCGAACAATTTATTTTACTACTACATAACAACACTAAATTTTCCGGTCCTCCCATGCGCGCCTCACCAATTAAGCCTCCCATTCGGTGTCTTCAAAGTGTGAACACATCACGGTTTTCCTTTTTCTTAAGCAATTGGGTGGCATAGTAGTGTTCATCACTCCCTTCTTCAGCACCATCGTTAATGACTTGCTCCAACATAGCCCCAATCTCATCTCTAACATGATCAACCGCATGAGAAGTTGCTGAATTTTTACTACTTTGGGCCTTCTTCTCATATGTGTCGACCAACCTCTTCATAAGTTGATCTCTATATGTCTTCTTTTTCTTTCCAGAGGGGGAACCTTCAGCTGGCCTTTTGTTAGCATTTGGTGTGACATGTGGTGAACCTCTCCCTTCGACTCTCTCACTATCACCATCACCATGACCGGCCTCATGCTCCTCACCCTCTCCATCGTCAGGACCACTTCCAGGAACATAGGATGTCTCATTAGTCACACTAATAGCATCAAACATTATCCGCATCATTTCCTCGTGCTCAAGAACTGCAGTTTTGAAACTTATACATCCTGGCATAGCCTGAAACATTAAATGAAAACAATTAGAGGATGACATGCCGATGAGTACTAAAATACAAAAGACGACATCTCAACTACTCACCGCATTTTGTTCTGTCCACCATTCATCACTAGCAGAAATACATCCGGTCACAGGATCCCTTCCTAACCCAGTGGCTCTCATGTTCAACGTCTTCCACTGTGCATATTTCTTCTTCAGTACATCCCATCTATTCTTCATTTGCTCTTTGTCATATGGCCTCTTTGTTCGCTCAAAGAACTTCTTCACCAAATTAGCATAACCCACACTATTCAAGCAATTGTGTGGCCTGTTATGGGCAAGCACTTCTTCTATGCATATTTCATTGAAAACTTTGGCGACAAAAGTATCCCATTTTGCTTGAGGTTTTGATGCTTTTTCCATCTATTCAAGCAAACTGGGATGTCTATGTACATGAAAGAAAAAAAAACAGCAGTGTCACCAATTATACTGTGCCACATATTCAGAACAAGTGGAGTCACCAATTCTACTGAACAGAAGCACTTAAAGTTGACGTAAATTTATGAAATGTCATGTAAGATCATGCCACAGATTCCTTAACATACATCATTCAAGATATGGCAAGCAACAGAAAAAAGCAACCCTTAAAGAGTATGCATGTGAAAATGCCTTTGACACCATTGGAGCATGTAGATGTGATCTACATTGCCAATTAAATAAAGTCTCACATGGAGCACCTCATGCACGATCTCGGATCTGTCAGATTAGAAGGGAAAACAACAACAGATGACTTTTTAATTAAAGGAATCAAATGATTACGCACTTGAGCCAATGATTCCACCCTTTTGAGAAATGCTAAGTTACCGGTGCAAGGAAAGAATTTGAAGCAAAGCTAGCTTCTAAACTTTTCCTCTTGGTCCTCCCTTGTCGGTCTGGATCGCTAGCACTAGCACATGGATGGGCCCAGCACGACAACGAAATGGATCTTCATTGCTTCACGAGGCACGGTGTCCTAAACTACACATAAATGATAAATTGTATGAAGAATAAACAGGCCAAGCTAATGCTTTATTAGATCGTAAGCTGCTTGGCTATCTTCATCGAGGATAAAGCCTAAAACTAGATACTAATTCATAACCACAAGCGCCCAAACTTCGATTGGAGCGGCAAAATTTCCACTGAAAGGATCAATTCGGTGCACCCATGCGAGATCCCTAGCCCGACTATTCCCAATTCCACCAGAAAATTCGGGAACTCAAGTTAGGCGCAAAGCGCGAGCCGTCCCTCAAGTGTGTGACACCACACAAGCAACCAATGAAACAATACCGAATCACAAGGGGAACACCCAAATTTCATCGAAGGCAAGCCAGTTCTGCCCACCCACGGCCAAAAAACACGGCCAGATCCCAAACGAAGAGCCTTATCCCAACATTCCAGCAGGACCCCAGTACCAAACCAACCGCGCCGAATTCATCATAAGCATGGTATGGCGGCGAGGCAAACCAGGCGCCGGATCGAAGCGTGGCCTGTACCTAGACCCAGCCCGAGGCGTGAGGCAGGCGCCAGATCCTGCGGTGGGCGCGAGGAGGAGGCTGGTGACGGCAGGCGGACGGACCAGGAGTGAGAGAGAGAGACGCAGACGGGGACTTGACGCGCGAAGAGGGAAGAAAGGAAGGACGCGACGCGGCGCAAGCTCCGCTCCCTCGCAACACGATCCGGCCAGCTCGAACCCCCCTCCAACACCTATAGGCCAAGCGCGCCGCTCCGCGCGGAGAAGAAATGCATTAGCTGCAGTACCTCGGAAGAGGATTCAAGAAGAGGAGGAACGGAGAACGGCGAGCGCCGTGGCTGCTTACCTGACACAATCGGCAACACAGAAGGGGAGCCGCAACGGAGGCTCGCCCTGGCTGGAGATCCGAAGGAGGGGAGGGGACGGCCTCCGGCGCACTGGCTGGAAGCGGCGGCGGAGAGGCAGGCGGCGCCGGGAGGGAGCGAACGGGGGAGGGAGCGAGCACGGGACCGCTCGGGTCTGAGGGCAGGGAGAGGAAAAGCCTGCACGATTTGGGAAAAGCGGGGTTCGGCTCGCGATCTGGAAAGCGTTGCAGGCGACCGTCAGTTGCGGAAGCGCGTTCGCTGGTTGGCTCGTAACGCAAGGCGTTTGTGCGGGCTTTTCGGCTTATCTTGCTCAGAAACTGAGCAAACGCTCTCCCAAACAGGGCCTATGATTGGATATTAATTGCCAAATAACAACGAAAATGCTACAGTATCATTTCTAAAAAGTTTCGTCAACTAAATAATGCCTTACTCCGTTTTCAGTGGGATAATAATAATAAACTGTGACATGACAACTATATGAGTGCTAGTACAGATGAATTCTGGGTTGCACTGCACCGCGTCATTCATTTCACACGTCAGATGAATTATATATGTGGTGGTACCTGCTGGTTTGTAAGGGCGCGTTTGG